ACCCCTAAATTAAAATCTCAACCGAACTGGAAACTGAAAATAAATTAAGCTAGAATCATCGAGAGAAGTCCTACACAACAAATGAATGTGAGACTGTCCTCGACAAACACAATCAAGCTCTAAGGCTGGACTCGTCCTGCACCTGAAAAGAATAATAGAAGAGTGGGTCAGGCCCACGAGCAAGTTCTAATCTAACTACAATCCATACAGTGACCCGATAAGCAGATACATCGTAGACACCTCACAATATCTATCTAGTCCATACATATATATATATATATATCCACACTAAGGGACATTCACTGTACTACAGTAGGGGTCTCAACCTGAATAGACCTAATAGGGTACACCACAACCTATTGTAGCCAGCTATGCATCCACAGTCTGAGACTCAAGCTCATCCCGTGGTACCATAAACATATATATAAAGTCCGTCTAAAACCAGGGTATGACATTCATTTATTTATTGAATTATCATACAACATACAATCTAGTTAGTCACTCAACTTATTCAGTTGGTACGACTTAACTACAATCCATTAATGCAGTAAGCCATTCAACTTAGTCACAGTTCATCTGACCTCAAACATAATTAGGAATTCAATATTTTGAATCCATTCCTTTAATCCATTAGGGTAGGTTTATGCGTTTTGAGCTAAACCGTCCCTAGTATGCCACCGTCCCATACTGGTGCATACAATCCTCCAGATCCATGTAAATTACAACATATATAGAATAAACAAGTAATTTACAGTCCAAACCAAATATCCAAATAATCGCAGAAAGAAGATTAACAATCTCGCAATTAAAATCCAGTATTAATCCATGTAATTGCATCAAAGAATTTAATATTCTAACAATTAATATTCAAGGCATGCATAGTTCCAATCTAATATAAAAAACCTTATCATGCATTTAAAACAAGTTTTATTAGCATACTGGATCTCCTTAAATTGCTAAAATTTAATTAAGCAATTAATCCGTCCTCCATCCGTTATCAGCGTAGAAAATTTATCAATTTTATACTATTTGTCCCATGGATCAACTTAAATCAATTCCAGGTTTTAATCACACCCTAAATTAACTATTTAATCCCTCTGTGAAGTTCCATTAAATTTCTGAAATTTAATCAAGCCATTCAGTTCCTTTCTTCAGTTAATAGCATGCACCGTTGTATATGTTTACACAGCTTCATCCTTTATCAGAGAGTCTTAAACCATGCAACAATAAGTTTAATATTACTTAGAGTTAACCCTTAAAACCTTTGTGAAGTCCCTACAACCCATTAGAACCATCCAAATACTCAAACAGTGTCAAAAGTATCATACAGTGCCGTAGGAACCCATTTCAGAACGCATAAAAGTTTGGAGCCTGCTCTTAAAATGAAAGAGCAGGCTCTTTCCCACTTGGAGCCGGCTCCAAACTCCCTTGGAGCTGGCTCTTGCTGAAGGAGAGTCAGCTCTTGGCTTTCCAGAGCCAGCTCTCTCCCCCTTGAGAGCCTCCAGTTTAGTCTCTGCTCCGTTTCAATCTGTCTGCTCATTCTCTGATCAATTCCTACCCCTCTGTTGGTTTTTTAAACTAATCTTAAGGGTTTAATACCACTTTAATAGCATCCCCAAGGTTTGATTATAGTAGTTTGAACCAATTACAAAGATTAAACTTGCTACTGAACTTAACATGCGTTAGTACCAACTGAAACCACATGCATGAATTGAAACGGAACAAATTGCAACACATATTTAAAACAGAATAATAACAACCCTATGAGTTTTATATAACCCCAGTAGTGTTCCTATATTTTGTTTACAGTAGTTGCAATCAAATACAGAGACTAAAGTTATAACATAAACAACATGCTTAAAGGACAGAAAACTAGAACGAGACTTGCATGCACTGTAACAGATTTGTTTTCAACACCACAGATCATAAATATAGCATATGTTAAACAGGTAAATTCCAGTTACTGATTGATTAAACCCTAGAGATTATCTAGGTGCATAGAACATGAGCCAAAGAGAAGGAGAAAGAGAAGAACTTGCCTGTGATTTCAGTTATGAAATCCCGGCGTCATCTCTAAGTTTCTGGCAACTACTAACTTCCTTCAAGCCTCCTATGGGTGTGATTTAATCCACCACAACCCTCCTTTGATCCTCTCTGTTCTTGTCCTTGGTAGCTCTTACGATTTCCTCTGTTCTCTTAACTCTCTCTCTATTACGTTCTATTTTCACTGTGCCGTGAATAGGGTTCTCCAAACCCTTAGTGAAAGTCATACACGTATATATATAGGCCCTTAGAAAACCCTAATTAAACTAGAGTTAAGGCAGAAACCCTAATTAAACTAGAGCTGGCCCATAAACTTAAGTCACATACATGTTAGATACTTGTATGACGGCTCCAAGAAAAACCCTAACTGAAAACATATTTAAAACCTTAGTTAACGTATTTACATAATTAACCTACTAAAATTTAACAATTACCAAAAAATTCAATTTTAAAACATACAATTTATCAAGTAGTTCAATGTAACAACAATAATTAATTAAATAACAAAATTAGATGTAATGAAATCAAATAAGTCACAAAATGCAAATAATCTCAAATAAATCAACTAAAACAATTAAAAGCAAATAATAAACACAAATAAACAATTAACAAACAAAAATACACTCAAATAATTTATTAAAATATCAGGACTATCCTTTTTAAAATTAGGGGTATTACATACCTCCCTTGAGGTTTGGACAAATCTCACATGGGTAGAGCATTCGAGGTTTATTACTTTGACCTCTCTTAATATTATAAAAGTCAATTATACCCTTACATGTAATATATATTTATAATACAAAATATATTATAAAAGCTAAAAAAAAAAAAAATATTCTATCTCATCTATCTTATTACTTTCTTCTCCTCTCCACTGCCGTTATCCCCTCCTAAGAAAAATACTGATAACAAAAAAATAGGTGTGAGGACAAATTGGTCATTTTATGAATTTTTTTTACAAGTTTTAATATAGAGGCCGGGGGGGTTTATTGAGCATACAGCCAAACCCTTAAGGGAGGTTAAAGCAATAAATTTGAAACGCTTCAATTATGTGAGATTTATCAAAACATCAAGGAAGATCAATGTAATTTACCTATGTTTTTTTTTTTTTTTTGGGTTCTTTTTTCGAATTCACCGTTGGGCTTCCTTCCTTTGTTTGGGTTGGTGATTAGTAGGTTGGTTTGTTTGGGTCAACAACTTAGTTGAGCCTTTCTTTGTTTTCTTTTCTTTTGGGCTTCCTGTGGAAGGCCTTTATGTACCGTGAGTGTTCGAAATAATAAAAACAAGCCAATTCTTGGTTCATTTTACCATGAACTTATAATGTCTCCAAGATCGATGTCTTTGAGATCTCAGGTTTCTTTTAAAATATATATATATATATATATATATATATATATATATATATATTTTAAAGTAATGTGTATTTAAATCTTTCTCTTATTCGAATGCAAATAAATATATGTAATGATCACATCTCTCATGAGAAAGATGAATTTTTGTTGAATTATGTTTCATGCAATAGACATTTTGCGTTTGCTATCTAACTTCTAGAAATAGATTTTTTATTTTATTTTTTTCAAATTTCTTGTAAATTTTTTAGAAATTGAGTACAACCCCAAAGTGTGTTAATTAATAAAGCGTTTGTATGTGGTACACGATTGTAAATTAAACATGTGTTTCTTCTATATAAGAAATAAAACTTCTACTTTTAAGAGTCTGTTTGGGATTGTTTTTTTATTTGTTAAGCTTTGATTTTAAAAAAAGAATAATGATATGGCAACCGAATTTAATCACCAAATAAGACCCGAAATTGCCACATCACTCACTCATTCATTAAATGGAAAATTCTACCATTTTAAAAAGACTACTTTACTCTCAAAATATCATCCAAACTCTTCCACGTTTTTTCTCTCAAATAATCATCCAAACCCTTCCTTATTTTTCTCTCAAAATTCTTCCATCTCTGTCACTGTCCTACCCGCCTCTCCACCTCCACCGCCACCATCTTTCTATTCACTATCCTATCCACCTCTCCATCACCACCATTTCCGTGTTGCACTGCCACAATCCCTTAGCTTCACATCTCTCCCTAAAAGACTTTCAAATTTATTCCTTCTCATTGACCCATCAAACCTTTCAAATTATCTATTCATTTCTATTGTCTTCTTTATTCAAAGAAGACCAAAATCAATAGTACACCATGACATAGATGAGTAGAGCCATTTTCCTTCACAAAGCAATATTGAAGTTAAAGATTAGAGCATATATGTGAGAGATGCGAAATTAGAGAGAGAAAGAGAGTCAGAATCAGAGAGAGAAGAGAGAAGAGAGAAGAAAAATTATGATTTATTTGCTGGTTTGATGGGTCACCCTTAAATTTTTCTAATGAATTGTTAAATTGAACATTAGATCGGTGATGATGATATAACCTTTCTTGTTCATTGCTTGACCCAATCGGATTAACTAAAGATTGTAGATCATGGAGGGGAATTGCATACTTGTTGATGAGACGATGGGGTTGTGGTTGATATATATATATATAAATATAAAGAGAGAGAGAGAGAGCCATTTTGAACACAAAGATATTTATTTGAGAGAAAGAAAACGTGGAAGAGTTTAGATGATATTTTGAGGGTAAGTAGTCTTTTTAAAATGGTAGAATTTTTCATTTAATTAATGAGCGAGTGATGTGGCAATTTCGGGTCTTATTCGGTGATTAAATTCGGTTGCCGTATCATTACTCTTTAAAAAATTGTGTTTAGATTTGCTTTTATCAATACAGTTGTTAAAAAAAGACAATATTTACCTACTCACCGGTGAGTAGGAAGTTTATGTTTACCCTTGATGTGGCGCAAAAGTAATGTGGCAAATGTCCCTAAAATAGAAAATAATAAAAATTTTAAAAATTAATTGCTTATCGAGTCAACCCAAAAGGATGCAAATCAAATATATATATGCTATTAGGACAGTCTTTTAGTGACGCACTAAAACTTGTCCCTAAAAATCTTATTATTAGGGACGAGCAAATTTTACCATCCTTAATAACAGCCTTTAGGGACGATCAATTTGATCCATCACCAAATCTCTAAAATCTGTCCCTAAAAATATTTTTTTTGGCACAGTCTATCTAATACCTTCCCAAATTCCACACACAAAAAAAAAAAAAAAAAAATAGTGCCAAACTTAGCGCTTCAATATTCTCTTGTTTGACACTATTGTATGCGGCAAAAATGAAATATATAAAATTATTTTATTTTACAAAATAGGGAAGCCCATCAAACTACGTCGTTTTAATCTAAAAAAATTAGCATTTGCAAACCTCTTCCACCATCACAAACCTCTTTAGTTCTTCGATCTCAAAAGTTGCAGATGTCTTCCTCTTTAGTTCTTCGATTTGACGTTCATATAACCCACTTGGGTTCATGATCCTCGCCCTAGTTTTTTTTAGGGTTTCGAAATTGCAAAAGGCTTAACAATTGAAGGGGTAAATTACAAATCTGGAAAAGGCTTGTCGTATGAGTCTGAATCGCTGTGGAAAATCATACAGGTTGTTTGAACTTTCTATCTTTATTAATTTATCCCTTATATACATATAAATATATATGTATATATATCCTTTATATATATATACACTACAAGAAAATAAATATTTTACGACCTTTAATTGACGACATGCATAAAAAAACAAGTCAAGTTTTTTTCAAGCTAGTCATTAAAAGCTAAAAATTGTTGTTATATTGACGGCTTGCGCTTAATTTTCCTTTCAAGTTTCTTTTTAAGGTTTAGATCTAGGGAAAGCTTAAACTCAATTCCAATCTTTGATTGTTGCTTACGAGCTGCTCCTACTTAAGAAGATGAGAAGAAAATTGCCCCTTTCTAACTTTCCCCTTTATTCAAGAATCTTGTACTTTGCTTTCTTTTGTTATAGCTTGTGGAGAGTGCGCTAATATGAAAGTGGACAAAGGATTAACATCATCGCCTGTTTCTCAGCTTCCACTAGGTAAATATATATATTCTGTAAATTTTAATTTCTTGTTTATGGTTCTTTAATTATATCTACCTCTTGGTTTAGTTTTTCTATTAGTCTTTGATTTTAATTTCTATCTCCCTAGGCTTGCTATTATCCATCACATCTATTAAATTTTAATTTCTTGCTTATTTGGAAACTTAACTAGATTCTGATTCTGATTGTGATTTTCTATTTGGTCTTTAATGTAGTCTAAATTATCACCTATTTTTTCTGATGGAATTTCTTTGCTAACAGAGTAACCAAAACAGAAGTCTGAAAGGAAGGTATCTATAGAAGCAGACTGATAAGAATGATAATGACAGATAAGTCACATAATTCTAATGCCTCTTTGTTCTTGCGTAGAAATCTTTATATTGACTTAATGACATTCAACTTTAGAGGTATTTCTTTCTCCTTTGTCTTTAATATCTTCAATCTTTAAGCATATCTTCTTTAAGTGTTGTGTGATGTCTTGAAACTTTATTAATGTTATTTGATTCGTGTTATATATTGAGTTATACCAAAACTGAAATTTTATTTAATTTAATTTTATTACTATTCTTTGATTGATATAGAAATGTAGGATATTATTTTAAAAAAAAAATATAGTAGAAAAGAACAAAATTTGATTTCTGGCCGTGGAAAATGAAAATTTAGAATTAAAAGAATTAGAAATGAAAGAAAGATTCATGAGTTGTGGAAGAAAATGAAAATATGAGAAGTAGGTGGGTTAAATTTAGTTATATTTTGTTATAACTTGTACTTTGCTTTCTTTTTTTTATAACTCTTTTATGCTTATTTCTGTGAATTTTTTTTTTTTTTTTAAGTAAGATTTTATTAAAAACGCTCAAAAGGGGAGCGGAACCCAAAAAAACAAAAGGGCCAAAGGGCGCCTTAGACCTTCAGAGAGGCCAAAAAAACAATAATCTCCTCCGTAGATCTATAATCTCTCCCTGAAACCCAACAACAAAGAGTAGAAATAACAGAGAACTTAAGCATAGAAACAAGCTTCTTTTTTCCATCAAAATATCTCCTATTTCTCTCAAGCCAAAACACCACCAAATACAAAGCGACGTAACCCTCCAAGCATCACGAATGGAAGCCCCCATAGAGACGCCTCTCCAAGCTTCAATCAACCCTTTAGAGGAACAAGGCATAGCCCAATGGACCCCAAATAAACCAAACATCAAATCCCAACAATCTCTGGCCATGCTGCAATGTAAAAGGAGGGGCCATTGTGCAATTAACGAAAGTTATTGCAAAATGTCTCGTCTAGAGCCTGGATCCTTGTACGGGATTCATTTTCACATTTCGTCAAGCCGTGGACTCTTAGAATTTCCCTCTGGTTGTTTTTTTTTTTCCAGTTTCAGAGTTTCTGGACTCGGTTGCCGCCGAACTTGTTTGGGGCATATCTCTTGCTCGGGCCTTAGTTTTTAATGTTGTTTCTTCCGTTGTTCATATTTTCTCATTTTGAATCTTTTTCGTTCATAGATTTTTTCCGTTTGAGTGCGTTTGCTCAAATCCCACTTTTCCAGACCCGGTGGGACACTTTTTGAGACTTACTAGAAATAGGATGACTTAAAGTAAAAATTCACTTTTTACTTCATCTTCCTCCCTCTTTGGCTGGCAGCCATGGGAGCTCCTTGGGCTGCCACCCTTTCTCCTTCTCCTCCACTTGATTTCCTAAGTGAAAACTCTTCGGCCTTTACGTTTATTGTTCCCTTCAACGTGTTCTATCTTTCCCCCTTACTAGAATTCATTTCTGACCATTTATTGAGTTCAGGTTTGAAGTCAAGTTGTGATTTTCATGGGGCTTCTTGGGGATTCATATAGATCGTGTTGTCCCCGACAAAACCTAGGAGTTTCGGCGAATTCAGAACACTTTTCTTCCGGTGGGGATTTGAGATTTTCATCTCAAATTGAGGTAGGGAGTGTTATAATTTACTTACTTGTTATATTACATGCTTGTGATGCTTATACAACTTGATTACACGCTTATATATCAAAATCTAGAGATTTTATTATTATTTTCTCGTGAAGGATTTAATTTTCCCGGTTATCCATAACTTTGTTTAAACATGTGGCATGATAGAATATTATCCCTTGATATGTTGATTGACATATATTAAATCTAGATCATTTGGACAAGTAACGAAGTTTTTATTTAATATTTATCTTGAATAAAATATTAAATCATGTGGCCTTAACTAGCTTGAAATCAATATGTGTTAACATATTATAGTAGGCCCTAGCATGCTCTTCAACATAGGTGAATTTGAGAGTAATTGGAAGTGTTTCGAAATCTAGTAATATTTAATTAATTAGATTAATTAAATTGCTCCAAGTGCACTATTCATCTCATTGGTTTTCTGACTTGATATTCTTGATGTGCATGCCGTATAGGTTTTGAAACCTTTCATTTATTATTTTTCTTGTATTAAAGTTTAATACTCATGGCCGTAACTTGTATGGAATGTACTTGTATCATGCTCTTAAATCAAGCATTGACATGTTTAATAACATATATTAATTTGAGATCATTTGGACGAGTTTCAAAATCTAAAATCCATTCAATGGTTCTATGTACTTGATTAAGTTTCTAACCTTGTATTCATGATTTCCTTGATAAGTTCTTTCACGTGCATCAATTTGAGAATAATCGGATAAGTTTTGAAACTTATATTTACTTATTTTCCATATATGGAACTTAACTCACATGGTCGTGTCTTGTATAAGATGAACTTACAACTTGGTGTTAAACTTGTTTTGGATATGATCCTTGATATGCCTTGTTCGTGGAACATATAGACTTGCCTTGTAGTTCTTATAATTTAATCCCTTAAGTAGATTAAATTCCCTTTTGTGCCTCCCTCGAGTTAATCATGTCTTGACGTCGTGTATCTTATACTTGTGGTATATTTGCTTCAATGGATTTCTGGTGCTATATATCTTGGTTCTAGTTTATGTAGATGCACATTTTGATTTCTTGACATTTCACATGCCATCATAATTGAGAACTTAGGGCATGACTGTGTGTTCCAAAATCTTAGTTGTGCATGATATGTGGTTAATGCATTTCTTGTATTTTGATACGATCTTGACTTGCACAATTTGTTGATTTTGGAACTTGGGATATCAATCAAGAATTGACATTGCTAGGACTTGGTTCTAGTACGGGGGATTGTCCCTCTACACTATAGTGCGCACTAGGGGAAAGGTACCCATGGGTTAGTAGCCCTAAAGTGATTTCAAGAGTACGGTTTTAATCCGGGCGATATCCGAGTTTTCCACATTGGTTGATTTCACTCTTTAAATTTCAAATTGTTATTCCTTGAAGATTTAAACTTGTCGTGTATGTGAAATGCTCCAATCCTGTTTCATTGCATAGATATTATGCATTATCCTTGATTTCATGTATTCTCCTTTTCGTGTTTTATGGAATATCCCATCCTTGTTCATTATATAGATTTTATGCTTCATTCGTGATTTCATTCCTTACATGTCAAGTGTTGCATTTCTTGAAGATTTAAGAATCCTTTCGTGTTTTATGAAATGATCCAACTTAGTTTCATTGCATAGATATTATGCCTTGTTCTTGATTTCATGTGTAACTCTTTTCGTGTTTCATGGAATGTTCCGTCCTTATTTAGTTGCGTAGATATTATGCCTAGTCCCTGATTTCATGTATCATTTTATCGTGTTCTTGGATTATCCCAATCTTGACTTGTTTCATATATGTATATACATATATCATGATTCTTGTTGCTTATACTCCATGGTAGCTTAGGATGATCCCTGAGTTTAATCTTTGACATAGACGTTAGGTGGCGTGATCCCTTTTAAATATATCATGTTTGTCCTAAAAATCTGAAAGAAATCGAGTCGATACATGCTCATTCTCTACGAGTAAACTTGTTTACTCACCCCGAAGATACTGGGGGTTTTAATCAGGTACGAAGACTTAGTTCGTGATTCTTATCATGCTTGGACGATTTGTAGACTTGAAGATTTCAATTCTTGTAAAGGTCGACTAGAAATGTCATTTGTAGCCATTTTGTCAAATGTGTATATTTAATTCCAAACTTGTATTATGTGCTTAAGCACACTTTTTGGTATTCATTCTATGTATATGATATGTGGCCAAAGGCCAAACTTCATTTGTAATCCATGTATATTGAAAAATGTAGAATTTTGCCTTTAATAAGAAAAGCATGAAAACTTGGGTTTCAATATGTCATTTTCGCACCGGTGTGTGCATTGTGTATGTAATTCATCCTTTAGCATTCATTTGCCATATGTGAGGTGTGGCCAATGGCCAAACACCATTTAGTTTTCATTTTTACATTTTAGTTCACATATTGCATTTTTGGGCTAAAATAGTATAAACTGAGCCTTTAAGGCTCCATTTTCAACTCGGGTGGTGTAAAGTGTGTTCCGGCACCTCCACTAGGTCTCATTTATCTTGTATGAAGTGTGGCTAAGGACCAAACGGTCATTTGAAACCATTTCCTAATTTTGGTTTCCATATTTTCCATTTCAAGTTCATTTTCGCCTTTTTGGCCGTTGGGGGGTCAGATTTTGACTCGGCCATTTTCGGGAGCCGCGGACTATTCCCCCGTGCTCAAAATCACCATTTAAGTCTGTGTGCATGATCATTTCCAGGAAAAACCCTTTCGTTTGTGTTTTGAGACTCCAATCGACTCGTTTAACCTTTTTATTGAAAATTCTAGCTTAAAGGCATTTTGGGAATTTCCTTCTTGAAATAAATTCCGTTCCTAACTTTGTCTCTTAGAAAATGTGATTTTAGGGGGAGTTTCTTCTTCGTATTTTTCCAAAAAATGTCATCTTGACCACGAAAACCGCGTTGCAAACTCATTTTTTTGCTAAAATTACTATTTCTGCATTTTTTGAGGTTCCAAACCACCCCACTGCCTCATTTGGCAGGCCCCCGCAGTGTTTTGGCGGGCGCCCGCGAGAATCTGCCGCATTTGGCCAGCCCCCGCAGGTTTTTGGCTGGCTCCCGCGGGAACAATTCCTGCTCCAGACATCTTTCTTCAACGGGCCATATCTCACTCGTTTTAACTCTGAATTGGTTCGTTCTTGAGTCTAAACTGACCGCGTCGAAATAAGATTTCCAATGGTACCAATTAGAGCTCCAGATTCCATTTTTAGCTCAAGTTATTCATGTTTTAGCAAGATAGTGTCAGAATTTGGTTCGAACCGGGATAGGGTTTTCCTTCCTTCGACTTCAGGACTTTATATCTTTGCCGTCCGAACTCCGAATCAGGTGATTCTTGAGTCCAACTTCATTCATTTTTCATTTTCTATCTAATGGTGTACACGGGGGCACTCATTTTAGTTTGGAATTACCATTTTACCCTTTTAGCCATAAGTGCTCATTTTTCTTCGTCTTGTCGTTTCTCCTTCATCTGGACTCCAAATCATGTGATTCTTGAGTCCATCTTGATTAGTTTTTCATTGTCTTTCCACCGGTGTGCTCAGTGGCACCCGAATCTATATTCTCACAGATGATAATTTTGCCCCTGGGGTTTTAATTGTTACTTTTCCGATCTCTTGCTTCCGCACTTATCCCTTTGGGTTCCGTGACCTCATGAAAGGTCTTCTTAGGGTCTTTAAAGTGTGTTATGCTTTGGAAGACCATTGTATTGTTTCTAGCTTTTGCATCTTGGATCCAGTTTGGGTCATCACAGGACACTGGGTTAAAAAAACCCAGGGTCGTTACACGTCGGAACTCCATTCACAAAGACAAAGAACCGAACGCTAGAAATGCAAAAAAGAATCCATCTCCTCCACTGCCCACCAAAACCCATCATCTACAACAGGTAGAGAAGGAAGTTCCAGCTCACATGGTCGTACGCCTTTTCAATATCCAACTTACAAAGAACACCTGGAACACTGCTGCTCAAACGAAAATCCACACATTCACTAGCAATAATAACTGAATCCAAAATATGACGACCTCTCGCAAAGGCATTCTGAGAGTCAGAAATGACGCCATCCATCACCTTTTTCAACCTAGAGGCCAAGACTTTCGCATCACCTTTTTTGAAATCTCTAACATCCATTGCCTTTCCCTTATTCGGAATAAGAACAATAAAAGTTGTATTTAAACTTTTCTCAAAAGAGCCCTGCACATGGAAGGCGTGAAAAGAGCCCATCAGCTCCTCACGAACCACATCCCAATATTCCAAAAGGAACCTCATAGTAAAACCATCAGGCCCAGGGGCTTTGTCCCCATTACAGCTCTTCAGAGCAGAGAGAACTTCCTCTTCTGAAAAAGGCTCTTCCAAAATAGAGCATTCCTCTCCCAAAATAGATTCAAGTAAAGCCCATCATGCAAAGGACGCCAACCTGCTAATTCAGTGAATAACTTCGAAAAGTACTTAGAAAAACTCTTACAAATCTCCTCCTCTTTACTAATCAACACCTCATCCACCCGAATCCTCCCAATGCGGTTGCCCCTTCTGTGAGCATTGGCAAGTCTATGAAAGAATTTAGTGTTATTATCACCTTCCTTAAGCCACAAAGCTCTAGATTTCTGTCTCCATGAAATCTCCTCCATGACAGCAATCTCAGCAAACTCTGCTTGACACTCCACCCTTCTAAGCTTCAAAGGAACCGTCAAAAGACCCAGACTTTCCATCTTATCAATATCAGCAATCTCAGAGAGAACCCGATTCTTCCTCTAAGCCAAATTACCAAAAACCTCTTTGTTCCAAACTTTGAGATCCTTCTTTAAAAAACGCAACTTGCCTACCAAAGAATGACTAGGAGTGCCAGCCACTCCATACCCCGCCCACCAGGATCGTACTCGCTCTAGAAAGCCTTCAGCCCGGAACCACATATTCTCAAATCTAAAAGGGGATCCCTGCTACGCAGCCCACCACAATCCAACAACAACGGAACATGATTGGACAAAGGATGAGCAAAAGTGGCTTGAACAACGTCAGAAAACTTTTCATCCCAATCACTTGACACCAAAAATCTATCAAAATGAGAAAGAGTAGGAGGAAAACGTCCACTGGACCAAGTGAAAGGCCCACCCACCAAAGGAAAATCAAGCAAATAGAAAGCATCAATAAACTCTGAAAAAACCATCATATCAGCCGTCCACCTGCCCCCTGTCGACCTCTTAAAAGGGGAACGCACAACATTGAAATCCCTTATGATACACCAAGGCAGCGACCATTGCCTACGAATTTCCCCCAGCTCTTCCAAGAGCAAATGGCAATCACGATCCTTCGTAGGCCCATAGACTCCAGAAAAAACCCAGCAAAAGCCATCCTCCACCATGGACAAAACACAAGACGCTGAGAAAAACCCAACCTGAGAGTCCAACAATAAGATCTAACGAACATCCCACATAATCAGGATATTACCCGAAGAGCCAATCGCATCCAAGGCAAACCACTCCACGAATCTCCCACCCTACAAGCTTCGAACAATCACATCCGACATTGAGGCAATCTTGGTTTCTTGAAGACACACTAGATGACCGCCCGCTTTTTGAATCACCGATTTCACCATTTTCCTAGTCGGGTCGTTGAGACCCCGGACATTATTCCATGAAAGAATTTGTAGCTTTATAGGGAAACAGTAGTGTTAACCATCTCACCTCTCTGTCCATTGGCTCTCTCCTTAGCCCCTCTCCTCCTCCTTTCATAAGTAACGAGAGTCGAGGGACTTGGACTCCCTCTCTCCTCTTTCTCTATTGGAACACTCCCCCTACTATCCATTGTATCCGCAAACTGAGCATTAAGAACATCAAGGAATAAACTTGTCGCCTCCTCTATCCGACCCTCAAAAGACACACCCAAAAGAGAACCTATCTCAACTTTCTTTTCCTTCATCCAATCATTCTCCAAATCAGTCAACCCTACATCAAATCCCATCCCTTCTGCAAAATTCCCATCCGGTCTAACAACAGCCAAAGGTGTAAGCAAATCAAAATCAGACTCGCATCCATTCCACAAAATCATACCCAAATCACCATGAACAGAGGAACACGACCCATCATCCCCATACTCAACAGATGACAAAGATGGAGAGTAGCAAAAAAGTGGGGTCTCATCAGCCAAAAGATCATTCTACTCAATAAGAGAACCCTTTGACCCAAGATAAGCCCTCAAATCATTCAAGAGCACAGCAGCTGAAACATCATCAATCCTTATCTTCACATCCTGGCCCACACACACAGTAATTCTATCACTGCTAACATCACACAACTGAGAGGAACCCATCTCAATACCACCATCTTCACCAGGTCTTTTCTCAAAAATGGGTACTGGCTCCCTTTCAAAAATCGGGGATAAGCATTTTGAAACAGAAGACACCACTCCCTTTTTCGGCACCAAGCTCCTTCGTGATACCCCGCAAAGGTGAAAAGAGGAAGGAGAAGAGAGAGAAGGAGAAGGATCAGGCGAAACAAAAGACATACCAGATCTAGAGTCAATCTGCGAAACCGGAATCCACTTCTGCTTTTCCTTTCTAGACCATTTTTTGTGAAGAGGGGGAAATAACATTTTCTTCTTCATACGGTGTCCCTGCGTATGCCCTTAGGAAGCCAATTTCTTCTCGATCCTTCTGGGAAAGCTCTAGATGGATGAATGTCAACGTCTTCCACAACATCACATAAAGGCCCTATGATACCCCTCGGATCCGAGACACGGGTTGATTAGGCCTAGGCCCAAACCCAAGAGAATATCAAACAATTAATATTTAATGCGAACACAGAATACAAGATGAAATAATAAGAAGTAAATAAAAATGGCTGAAAAGAACTCTAATTGAAAATCCTCAAAATAATGTTATAAAAATCCAAACTCCAAAACCTCCAATCAATTAACAACTCGGGAATCCATTTAGTGGACCCCTAATAAAAATCCTAACTATAAATGAAATAACTGAATTAAGATCCAAAGCTAATAAGTAAGCAATCCTACGTAGTCGGTGGAATAGAAGTCTGTATCTGCTCTGCACGACCAAGCTCTAACCCTGGAACTGACGAGCACCTGAAAAAATAAAAGAGTGGGTCAGGCTCACATTCAAGTCCTGATCTACTACGATCCAAACAGGAATCCGATACGCAGATACATCCTAGATAGACTTAATAATATCTAGAGTAGTCCATATATGTATATATTACACACTATAGGATGTTCACTAGTCCAATAGGTCTGTCTCAGCTTGAGTAGAGATACCATGCAAATCGCACATTACGTGGTCATGTGTACCTAAACCTACTAGGGAACAATAACTACTGTCCAGCTGTCCATTCTAGGCGATATACGCACCCTAATCATGGTCATGAGACTCAAGCTCATACCATGGCATCATACCATAAATATATAAAGTCCGTGTCCTCCCAATACAAAATATCATCCATCTGATATAGTGACTTGATATCTGTATAACAATTCATCCCAGAAATCCAACTATGTCATTCCGTTATTTACAGACCTGACACTAACAGAAGTCGGACTTAACTTTTATTGTTAATCCAAACCTCAATCCAGATTAGGTAGGCTTAGTGTCTGACTAATCCATACCTGGTATATATGCTACCATCCCATACCGGTGCATACTATCCTCCATTTACCATAGTTGACACAAACAGTATAAATAGTTATCAACTACATTCCAAAACAAGTACAAATACAATTTAACATATGTAAAACTAAATCATGCATCCAATAACAGATTTAGAAACCAAATCCCAGTCCTTTAAATTGACAGAATCCAACTATGCAATTACCTCCTCCAAGCAGTGTCGTAACAGATGAGATATATAACAGAGCTAATTGTCAGTTAATCCCAACCAAACATACTTATAATTAAATAACAGAATGCTTATAACTCAGCTGTAAAACATGATTCATAACTTAAGATCATGCAAAGGCATCAAATTTTTAAAATAGTCTGCAATACAAGTCAATTGTTCAATCTTCCACATACAGATCTTGGTTTAATCTTATGTTAATTCCGTCCTCAATATTTAAGAGTAAAACATACTTCCCAACATTAATATAAGTTTTTAGCAATGCATTACACCATTCTGTGGCCTTTAAATAATTTTAGAAAACCCCGTTTCGCCAAACAGTCCCTAAAAACCTCGTTTTTGTGTGTTTTAAGAGAGAGCAGGCTCTTAAAATGGGAGCCTGCTTTATTTTTTCATCTAGAGTGGCTCTAGGCTCTTAGAGCCGGCTCCACAACACCAAGAGCCAGCTCTCCCCTTTGGGAGCCGGCTCTAAGAGGTTTGGGAGCCCTCTCTCCCTCCTCTTAGCAGCCTCTGTTCGTTTCATCTTCCTCCTCTCCAATTCTGATAATCACCAGTCCTCTGTAGTAGTTTTCAATACATGTTTTAAAGTCCATCCAGATTCCATATTGGTTATAGAACAAGAATATACAATCAAAACTTGAATTGAAACATAAGTTGTAACACAACGCAGCAAGGTTTCAGGTTAAAATTTTAAAGCAACTAAGAACAGATTTATTTCATGAATTTAATTACAGATTAAACATGCATAACAGATGTAATTAAGCCTTAGTTTAATCCTTGGAGTCTTTCTAAGCATGCACAGAACACAGATTAAAGGGATAGAGTAGAACAAAACTTGTCTTTGAGTTTCAGATTTGAAACTCTAATTCCACAGTTTCTGAATGCTACGTTAGTGTCCTATACTGCAGGTTTACTCCTCCGGTAATTTGGTTCCACCCAGAAACAACCTTGTTCCTTCCTCCTTGAACTGCTTTGTTAAGCACCCAAGGTCACTCTGTGTTTCCTCCTCTGTATCTCTCTGTGTCACAGACTTAAGTTTACGTTTCTCTAAAACCCTAAACCCCAATATTCTTATGTATTTATAGGGTTCAAGTAACCAAACCTTATTCCCATTCTAACTATGAGTCGGCCACATTAAAACCCAAAACCCTAAATTACGATAAAGAAAAATAAATACACAACAAATTAATTAATTAAATCAATTAAATAACTATAGTAGTTAAAACAGTAAAAGACAACTCATTAATTAAAAACACTTAAACAATTAATGCAAGAGAATACAATTAACCACTTAAACAAATAATTCCAATTAAGTAAACAAAATAAAAAAAATTAACAAATAATTGAATAAAACAATTAAGCGAACAATTAAATAAAACAATTAAGCAGATAATCAAATAATAATAAATTAAATTCCTGAAATATCCTTTTAAAATTAGGGGTATTACAGGCCCGTAACGGTTGCCGTTACTGACCCAGAAAAAACATTAGGAGAACCCGGTCCTCCCTTCAATTCACAACCCAAGTCAATGAGTCCTTGGCCAAGATATATAACATCTGATGAGTGGGCCGCTCCACCTCCATCCGGACCACAAGATGACAATTTACCTTTATCAATAAATCCAGGCTCGCCAACCATAGGCCTACAAGAAGAAAATGAGTTCGATCCAGAAACCTTACCCACCAGCCCATTATTAGGCCCAGCCACCGATTTAATCCCAAATTCGGCCTTATTATTTTTCGAAGCCCAAGATTTTGAAATAAAAGTGGATGCAGCTGTCATCCACTTTGAACGGCCAAATCATCTGCACCAACCACGTGTATGGCCGTTAATCTTCCCCTTCCCACGTGCTTGATTGACGTGAGAAACACTATGGCGACGCTCCTTCCTCCACATCTGTGTGAACGCCGGACGGCTAAACTCGATGAGACCACCACCCTTATGTCTTTCCCAGAATCTCTTTTGCCGTCGAAGATCAGTCCCATCCGAAAAGCCTTCTATCCTTCTCACAGTGAATAATCTTCTAAAACATTCTGAGTTACGCTTCCATAGATCGTCCCTCCATTCCTCCCATCTCTGAAACTTAGCCAAACCTTTCTTCCCCAAAGATTCCCACCTTAACCATTCTGTCTTCTTCAGCAGGTGTGAACCATCACCTTCTTCCAAACTATTCGTCGTTGACACAAGTTCAGGAGGCTTCTCTTCCCACATCTTTACTTTGTAGCTTAGACGATCATCGTGGATGAAAACAAAAGGAGGACAAACCTTGCCATCGAACACTATGATGCGAACCCTTTCAGCGTCAATTGCTTCATCAACTTCCACCCAGATGATACCATCGCATAGATCACCGACCATCACAAACAGGGCATACTCCAAAGATAGAGAGGGAGACCATACAACGTCACAATCTTCAGGCCCTTACCCTTTAACACCTCGGAACACCCAACCCTAAAACTCCAAGATTCCACTAGTAATGTGGCCGTCCCCCAAACACGGCGACCTTCTTTGAGCACATGAGAAACCTCCTTCGAAGAGGGGAAGCGAAATAGCAACAAAGAATCTGATAGAGGAAAGACCACAGCACTGGAAGAAACCTTCCAAACACGAGAAACCCAAGCCGCGATTTGAGCCCTATCACCCACATCCTTGTCGAACTTACCCACCAAACATGATCGAATGTCTCTCTTCTTTTTCCAACCGAATCATTATCCAAAAAAAACGAATGCCGTCGATAAGTGTTTGCAGATCTAACAGTTCCACCTTGAAATAGACGGGGTAACCTCGCAACATCCAAGAACGACCTCATTCCTCAATATTCATAACACCCACTGATTGATGCAGATGCAGCAATTAACAGCTTTGCTGTGAATTATTTTGAAACATTAATTAGAAGGATGTAAACATTACAAGTTTAGATTATAGGGGTTTAATTATTTTTGTTGATTTAGGTCAATCAGATGTGTTTGATAATGGGTCATCCGGAGATAATTCTGAGGATTCAATGTTTGATATTGAGAACCTTAAAAGGCCTGAGCTATCAATTCAGCATCCAAGATCAAATGTGCATCAAGACAATGACTCTCATGGGCTTTTGATCGAGCAACCCTTCAAGGTGAATCTAGCTAGCTGTGCTACTTAGTTTTCAAATTATTGTGTTCTTATCCTTATTAACAAGTAAATGGAATTTTCAAGCTCATTAATTCAACATTAATTTGTTTCCATTTGATTTAATTTGTTGCTATGGGAAAAATAGGGAAAATATTTTTTTTTTTGGGAATGACAGTAAAATTCTAAGCCCATAAGTGGTCTGATAACATGTTTGATTTGTTTTCAATCTTCTTGTGATTGTATGTATATCATACTAGTTATATAGAAATCTATTAGTAGTAAAATAGCTTTTCTTGGACGATTACTGGTGTTAATGTCCAATTACTTAGAAGAATAGGAAAGAATGTTCCTAGTCGTGAGTTGGTTTTTGAGAATGCAACAGAAAATAGATTATGGGATATATATCTTTTACCATAAATTCTAGCTTTTGTGCTATTTATTGTGAATATTTTTCTCCTTGAGCTCTTTTTTATTTGTTTAATTGTTTTAATTTCCCAAAACATATGTAACATTTTTTCTTCTTATTTTAGCATTAGTTATGGCTTCAAAATCTTGTTAGCAAGTATATATGCATCTATTAAACAGAGATAAAAATGTCATAAGTGAACTTGATTGTCTTAGGGAAAAAAAAACTTGATTATCTCGTATTTGTATGAACTGTGAATCATGTCTCCATTAATATATATGTATATATATGTTTGTATCTATATATATACACACACACACATATTAGAGTAGTTGATCTATCTGTTCATGATGTTTTAGCACTGAAACTCCATGATCAAGTAATAGTATCTGTTCAGTGTGGTTAAAAAGGAAACATAATACTAACACAGTAATTAATCACACTTTAGTCCTGCCATTCCATGACACATTGAAGAATCCCACTTGAGAAATGCAACATCTAAAAATGGAGATCTCTCTTTCATTGGATTTTGTGGGCTTAGATAAGGCTATTAAAAAGGGCCCACAAATAAGAAACTTAGTGTCAAAGCTAAACCCTGTGATGAACCCTTTTGTGGAAACCTTGGTACTAAAGTTGTGTTCTATGAAATTTCCGTGGTATCGTGTTTTATGTAATGGGGTAATGGGCTATCACATAGGTAGAGTAGTAGCTTCAACTTTGTTTCAATTAGCACTAAATGTAAAGGGAGAGAATTATTTATACGAACAAAGAAGAGAGTAAAAAGATAGCTTTCTTTCTCAATTTGTTTTTTTCTTATTCTGCCTGGCCTTCCATTGATAGCAAATATTATCTCAATGCACTGGTTTGTAACAAGGAGACTTGGTTCCATGGCCATGCCAATAAACTAAGGAATTTTCAAAAGAGTCAACTTTAAAAGAACCGTGGCTTACAATGTTTTTTTTATTGAAATTCAAATATTCAGACATGGTCCCAATAATTCATTGGTTTGTTTCTTTTATTTTTGCTTTTACTTTGTTAGCCTATTCTTTATTTGGAAAAAGATGTGCCAAACCTTGACCACGAAGAATATCCATTTCCAGCAAAGGGCTTGAGCATGACCTAGGACAGGTTATACACCTAATTTATTTATTTATTTTGTTTGTACTCATGTCAAATACTTGTAATTTTTTTTTTAATACAAAAAATTTAAAAATTACCAGGTTAAGAGATCAGGTTTTTTATTTTAGGGTTGGAAACATCCTGATATGATGTTTGCTACAAGGCGCAGCTTATCTGATGCATGCACTTCTATAGCTAAACAGCTTGAGAATGTTTACTCATCGGTTTCGGTAAGTTTATTTCCTCACAACTAGTCTGTCCTTAATTATCATGTTAAGGCTAATACTTAATAAAGCAGTTCTAGTAAATGATGAAATTATTTATGCAACAGCATCACCTCGATATTCACATGTCATAAGGAAAATGATGTTTGTTGATAGTGTTTTACGTATGTGTTGCTCTGATGTACTGGAGATAGGTAGCTCAGCTCAGTTTATCCTTTGTGATATGATTCCGATCCAGAATATAGTAGGTCCTCCGTTAAGCATGGGAAGCACCATTGGTTTGGAAGAGAAGTTGGATACAATTCAGAAGCTACTTGAGCAGCAACAACATTTTCATGATTGCATTTAGTTTAAAATGATGTTTTAATTTTTGAGGATGTTTGGAACCATTTGATGTTAAAGTAGCTAGTAGATACTTTTAGTTCTTGTTTACAAAACTAAAGAATTTGTAGCTTCTTCGTCAGATTAAGAGCTCGTTTGTTGGCATTGTATTGTGATGATAATCTATTTTTTTCTTTCTAGAATGATATTGTAGATGTACCTACTTTTTAGTTCCAATGTTTTGATATATAAGGTGGGTGTCATTTAGTAGTTTTTCCAGAACACAAATCCAACAGAGGAAAAAAAAAATAAAAATAAAAATAAAAATAATAATAATCAAGTATTATGGACAGTTTATAAGGGTCACAAATTTAATAATAATAATAAATCCTATTGGGGATAGTACAAATTGTGCAGCTAATGAGTATTGTATTAATTATTAGGGACAGTAAATACCGTCCCTAATAAATCAAAAGGGGACGGTCTTATTTGGGATAATAAGTCCGTCCATAATAAGTCAAAAGGGGACGGTCCTATTTGGGATAGTAAGTCCGTTCCTAAAGGTCGATTTTTTTAGGGACGGACAATTTTTACCGTCCCTAAAAAGCTTTTGTGATGCAACTATTAGGGACGGTTGAATCGATCATTAGGGACGATTTTAGGGCTTTTAGGGACAGAATGGACTGTCCCTAAAAAGCAAATTTCTTGTAGTAAAATTTATTTAACTCTCACTCTCTCTCAAACTACTCCGAAACCCTAATATGCTAATACTGAAGTTTTGAATTTTATCATTTAATGTGTAATCCTTATATATATACTTATCAATTATTTTATCTAAAGTACACCCAATTACATAAAATTTGGTTCACGTGGTTTTGTAGATGATTTGTTGATGGTAGGATAAATTATTATTAATTATTTCTTGTCTTTTTTTTTTTTTTTTTTGGGTGAAAACAAATATTTATGTATTATTGTTATTATTTCTATTCATCATACTGAGCTTTTTTTGTATTTTGTAATATTATTTTATTTAAAATTTTTAGTTTAAAATAGTTTTTTTCGACAATATCATCTTTTTATTCATTCCCTAGACAAAAAGAATGGCAGAGGGGGATTTGGTTCATATTGGGTTTAATCCGGATAACCTTTCAAATATTTTCATTTTTATTATTTTATATTGTAGTGACACGTGTTTCATTAATTTTGCGTCATTTCAGGATAAGTATGAATTTCCTAATCACCGGTGAGTAGGCAAGTAGTGTTCGTCAAAAAATTGATTTTCATAATTAACTTATTTTTAAATTTATTTGATAAAAATATTTTTTTAAATATTTCTATTTCTAATTTTGCAATAGTATTCTTTAATAGGACGTTACTATATTTGATAATAACAACTTTATTAATAAGGAATGAGTGTAATTGTCTTTATAAAAAGGAAAATGATATTTTTGACCGATTTTAATATCCCTGACTTAAAACCGACGTAAAAATTTCAACTTAAATAAATATCATTACTACTCTTGTTTATTTCCATAAAATAGTACATTTCCCTTTCCTTATCTTTTTAGTTTTCTAGCCCATTTCCCTATCTTTTTAGTTTTCCATAGCCATATCATCTTCTTTTTCTTTTTTACATAAGTTTCATAGTACTCAAATTTAATAATTTAATTTGCACAAAATTTAGAGCAAAAAGTGCAATGTTTTATAATTTTTTCATGCTTTGCAATATATATATATATATATTTAAAATTTCTCTTCTTCTCTTAGTTTTTGGGAATTAAATAGATCATTAATTAATTTTGATTATTATAGCAATTAACAAATGCCTATCAAAGTAATAGATGGATATCAATGATAAAAAATACAATCTAAAGTATCTCAATGGTCCTTACAGAGTTGCAATTTGAAATATAAAATAAATATATATATACATGGTGGTTGAAACTTTAATTGCCAACAAAGATACTAGATTAAGATAAACTTAGAATAAAGATTACAATTTTCTAAATAGTTAATTACCTTGTATTTTAGGGAAAAAAATTTACCTTATATTTTAAAATGGGTCCCATTATATTTGACACATGAGTAGCCATATAGACTCAGTAAAGTAGTAGGTTTTTTATTTATCGGGCTGATTTGCTAGGCTGAATCTATGTGACACAAAAAGACAAATAATATTTAGCAGTGGGTCATGCTGACTCAAAAAATAAAATAAAAAATAAAAAAAATAAAAAAACTTATGGGTTTGATAGGTTTAATTGATTGTAAAATAAGAGACGATACCCAAAAGATAAAGGTACGTATATATGATGATTTTATCATTAAAAATTATACAAAGAGCCTCAACAACCACTTTGGACTCAACAACCACTTTGGACTCCATTAACATTCTGTAATACAATTTAGTTTTATTGAAATTTTATAAGTAGGCATCATAACTAACAATTAATCAAATCTTTTTCTCTCTCTCTGCAATTACACGAAGGGATCCGGTTGTGTGAGGGAGATGGATGAGATGACTAGAGAAAAACTTGAGAGAGAGAATGAGGGAGAGAATAAAAAGATAAAAGAAAAATATTGGACTTTTGGGGTGAAGATAAGAGGGCTCAATTCCCCTACTATCAGCTGATTAATGCCGTGTTTGGCTTGGTATAAGAAAAAGAAGTCCACAAACGGCACAGTAACTTAACGTGCCAACTGTAAAGCCAAAAAAAAAAAAAAAAAGTTGAAATAAACTGCCGCCCCTGCGCTTCTGCAGTTTCACTTTCCCCTTCTTCCCTTTTGCTTTTGTTATTACCCTCATTCCTTTTTCATTTTGTTCATTATTTCTTTTTAATTTCTTTAATCCAAACCCTAATTCGTCTCTCTTTGTTCCATAAAAAAAACATATTGCTTTTGAATTCCTTTTTTTATTGAAAACCCTAATTCCTCTCTTCTTTATTCTTACTCTTTTACTATCTTTTTTGAATCAAAACCCAGATTGCAGTGTGTTGATTTCTTCAATGCAATTTCACCTTTTCATCTACAGGAAGGAAATCTACAATGGACCTGAGCTGGTATCTACAATTGACCTAATTAATGCTTGATTGTTGGTAAGTCTTAATACATGTTATTAATATTGTGCATTTAAAATATTGTTCATTTACAGTGAAATTTTTGTTTTGAACGGAACAATGTAGATTTAGAACATTTATGATTCTTTCATTTGTCATCGATCTATCATTGTAATGAATGTAAAATCTTCCATAATTGATTTTTAGAACTGAATTGGCTTCAGTAGGTATGAATGTGTTATAAAAAAAATTTGGTATTAAATGAATGCGGCAATTAGACATTTCAGAGGTCAATATTTGATATTTATGAGAAAAAAAAAATTGGAAAGTTTAACAAATAGGGACTCTAATCGCCTTCACCATCAAAATAAGCTATTCATATAGTACTGACTAGCTTATGTCACACATAAATTTAAGAATTTATGATTCTTTCATTTGTCATCTGTTAGTGCAAATTATGATATTTTTTTAGTTGAAATTGACATTGGTTAAGCATTATAGTGAATCTGAAATCTTGGATAATTGTAAGGCTTTCTTCTATAATAAAAAATAAGTATTCTAGTGAATGTAAAATCTTTCATAATTATTTTTTTTAAAATTGAGTTGGCCTCATTAGGTACCAAAGTGTTATCCAAATATTTTGTCTTCTCATATATGCGGCAATTACACATTTCACAGGTTATTATGTGATATTTATGAGGAAAAAAACATTGTGAAGTTTAATATGTAGGGACACAGATCACCTTCACCATTAAAATAAGCTATTCCCACAGTTCTGCAAAACTAATTTCACACCTCTGCAAAACTAATTTCACACCTAAATTTAACATTTTTTAATTCTTTAATTTGTCATCCGTTAGTGTAAATTATGATATTTTTTTACTTGAAATTGATATTGGTTAAGCATTCTAGTGAATTCGAAATCTTGGATAAATGTAGGATTTTATTATATAATCATCAATAACCATTCTAGTGAATGTAAAATCTTCCATAATTGTTTTTTTTTTTAACTGAGTTGGCTTCAATAGGTACCAATGTGTTATTCAAATATTTTGTCTTCTCATGTATGCGGCAATTACACATTTCACCGGTTATTACGTGATATTTATGAGGAAAAAAACATTGTGAAGTTTAATAAGTAGGGACACTGATCACCTTCACCATCAAATTAAGTTATTCACACAGTTCGGCAAAACTAATTTCACACCTCTGCAAAACTAATTTCACACCTAAATTTAACATTTTTTAATTCTTTAATTTGTCATCCGTTAGTGTAAATTATGATATTTTTTTACTTGAAATTGACATTGGTTAAGCATTCTAGTGTATTTGAAATCTTGGATAAATGTAGGATTTTATTATACAATCATCAATAACCATTCTAGTGAATGTAAAATCTTCCATAATTGTTTTTTTTAACTGAGTTGGCTTCAATAGGTACCAATGTGTTATTCAAATATTTTGTCTTCTCATGTATGCGGCAATTACACATTTCTCCGGTTATTATGTTATATTTATGAGGAAAAAAACATTCTGAAGTTTAATAAGTAGGGACACTGATCACCTTCACCATCAAATTAAGTTATTCACACAGTTCGGCAAAACTAATTTCACACCTCTGCAAAACTAATTTCACACCTAAATTTAACATTTTTTAATTCTTTCATTTGTCATCCGTTAGTGTAAATTATGATATTTTTTTACTTGAAATTGACATTGGTTAAGCATTATAGTGTATTTGAAATATTGGATAATTGTAGGATTTACTTCTATAATCTTCAATAACCATTCTAGTGAATGTAAAATCTTCCGTAATTATTTTTTTTTTTAACTAAGTTGGTTTCATTAGGTACTAATTTGTTATTCAAATATTTTGTCTTCTCATGTATGCGGCAATTACACATTTCACCGGTTATTATGTGATATTTATGAGGATAAAAACATTGTGAAGTTTAATAAGTAGGGACACTGATCACCTTCACCATCAAATTAAGTTATTAACACAGTTCTGCTAAACTAATTTCACACCTAAATTTAACATTTTTTAATTCTTTCATTTGTCATCTGTTAGTGTAAATTATGATATTTTTTTAATTGAAATTGATATTGATTAAGCATTATAGTGTATTTGAAATCTGGGATAATTGTAGGAT